CTGGCCTTTTAATGTTATATTTTTGGATATGTTAGCTCATTAGCAAAACAAGGAAAAAGTAAAAAATATATCCTTGATAATAAAAGCATTATCAGAACTCCTGGCCCAGAAATTATGAAAGGGTAAGGAAGCAATGTGTTGATGTCAGCTCACAAGTGATGTCAGCTCTCTTTCGTGATTCATGACATTGTTTGTGTGACTGTATGAGAGGAATGTGATACGCCTCGCAGAGTGGTGAGCCCTAAGAAATGACGCATCATCTCTGACCCCCCACTGTAGATTTCCACTGGGTTTCCCTGTCTCGGACAGCATGAATATCCTCAGGAGAATTGAAAAAAAGAAAAGATAAAAGTACATAGACCTGAATGACCTGCCACCATGGAAATAAAGTTGGGTATAACCCTTTCACCCCCACCCCCACCAAAAAAAAAGTACATAAACCATGATGTCTTCCCTCTCCTTTTATGTAAGACTATCTCTATGCAAAACAGTTCCCCAGCATTTTCTTCTCATAAGCAAAGAAGCCAGTGGGAGAAATTACAGATGGGCTGTAAGTAACTCTACAGCTGGACACTTCCTGCCACCTAGGATGTTGCCTCTAGGTTTCAAGCTACATCTTTATATAGGTCTGATGAAGAATTTGCGCTGGGGAAACTTTCAGTAGTTTAAGCTATGATATGGTTTTGTGGCTTATATTCTAAGCAGGGTGAATACAAAGATATTACTTAAACAATAATCAGAACCCATTTTTTCTAGGAAGATTTAGTACCACAAGAACCTGATTATCATGGAGTTGGGCACATAGACTTCAATGAGGCTGCAGTGGAGAAGCTGGCCCATGTGCTAGGCAAACTTTACTGGAAATTGTACACGGATACCATAAGGACAGATATCATGGAAGGCTTTTATCCCTGACTTAGTAATAGGAATAATGCCAATCACTAATTAATATCATTACCATTTGGCTGGTGACCAGTTAAGAAAGGTACTGCTCAATTATTTTCTGTCTGGCATAACTATCCAATAGTTATGCCAGAAAAAAACTTGGGAAAAAAAACTTTCTCCAAGAGAGCAAGTTGAGGTTTTATAAAATTTCTCACTCATTTATTTAAATGTTCCACTAAACTTATTTTTAGAGTTATGTTATTTCTTTTCTTTGGAAGCTAATAACCTACATCTTAAAAGATCTTAGAACATATTTGACTAAAACAGTTGAATTTCAGACCTTACAATATAGCAAATTCATTTTTTGTCTTTAGGCAGAATCTGACTTAACACTGAAATTTTATTTGCACTTCTGTAATGGCTTTTGTTGATCATTTTATACATTTTAATTGCTATAGCTTTTTTAAGTAACATAATATATACTTATTATAGAACAAATGAAAATATACTTAACCAAAAATGAAATTACAAATTACTCGTTATTCTATTACTCAGAACATTACTGTTGGCAGTCTTATTGTGCATCTTGTCAATCTTTTTCTTCTTGTTCACACATCACCTTAAAATTGCTTTATTTTTTTTAAAGAAAAAGTAGATCATCCTATACATATTGCTTTCTATCTTTTTTCTACTTAATAAACATTATGCCCATTTTCTCACATGTTATTAGATATTCTAGAACACAATTTTATTGCCTGCAAAGGATTCCATTGTGCTGTCTTCATGTAGCAGTTCAGTTACTTACACTGTTTCTTCTGTTCCCGTTGCCTCTGTATGATATAGACCCCCAGGCCTTTGCACAAGTTAGGCTGTTGGAATTTTCATTTTTAACACAAGCTGTTCAAGATACTGGAGGCAGAACAATTTGAGCAGAGGAACACAATTAGGAATTTGGGTCATATGTAGGAGTGGATCACAGCATTGAGGCTATTGGTTAGCTACCCTGATTCATCTGAATAACCCCCTATCCCCTTATGTTAGAACTAAAGAGAATTTGTGGACATTAGAGAAAAAATAACACCTTTTAGAAATGACACCAATAGGAAGTAATATAAATAATACTGCCTCCTAGGAAGGCATACTATTAAGAGAAGATGGGTTGAATATAAATTCCTGGATGGTAAGTCCTCTTTACTTGAGTCATTTTGAGACTCTGAACAGTACTGTGAAGAGTAGACACTCACATACTAAAAACAGACATCAACATAAAACACGAATTCACATGTGCCAGAGATGTTGTGAATAAGTGCGTGATTGGTGACCATATGCTTCATAGTTTGTTAAGGTATTATTGGAGTGAGACAGGGTATGCAATAAAGAAAACTTTGTTTAGCAGAAGCTAGAAACAAACTCACCAGGAGGTGAGGTTTGGGGAAAGTTTAAATGAAAGAATGTTGGGGGACTGAGGGGCAACACACTTGTTCAGTGAATTGGTGAGGAGGCTTCTGGCAAGTCCAAGAAGTGTCGGGATTGGTTAGCAGAGAAGACAGGTGGCCATACAACCATGTCCTCTAGGACAACAGTGCCCAAAGGAGAGAAAGGGAAGGAGGGAAGAACGGGATCAGGGGAAGAAATAAATAGTGTCCTCCCACTCCCACAAAAAAGAAACCACTAGAAAGGGGTTGGGAAAGAACCTGGGCAAGCTGGGAGGCTGTCTGCAGAGGCTGGAGAGGAGCGTGGCCATTGAAAGGAAAGGAGCGACACACAGCAGCAATTCACTGGAGAATTCCGCTTTATTAGGGAAAGGTGCTGGGTTATATAGGAGGGGGCATGAATTGATTGAGGTGTCACTTCTACGGGGCTGGTGGCTGTTGGCTAGGTGCTGGGATTGGGAGGGGGGCGAGAGGTGATTGGGCTTCAGGTGGCGCCGGCGGGAACCGAGGACCCCGAAGAGAAGCCGGAAGTTTGCCATCTTACTGGTGGGGACCCTTCAGCCATAGCATGTTCTTGCCCCGTATCTAAGGGAGAGACCACTTCTAAACCCCAAGGATACTGTTATCGAGGTACTGATTTATTTTTCAAAATGTTTGTAGGACAAGAAAGGATTCCCATGCCTCACCCTCAGTTTGTTGGATTATTAAATTGACTAGGACATTAAATTGCAGTCATATAGGAAGTTTGTCCACGCAGACCTTCTAATGATGGATTTTTGTAGCTCCCTTAGAAAAAAATAACTTGGGATTAGAAAAATGAAATATGCTTGTAAACTCAGAAGTCTAACGGTTGGTTTTCTTCTGGGCTCCTTTTCTTGCTGGTGGTGGCTGCTTTCTAGTCTCTTCTAGAATTCTTTTGGAAGGGTGCTGTCTTTTGTTTTTGACAGAATGTTGATCCATGTGTGCCTGTATTTTTACTGTAAATTTCTGTGGCGTTGCCTGAAATTTGTAATGAGGAAGCTGACAGGAAGATGTGAACTACAACGGATCTGTTACAACACCAAGCCTGGTGCTTCTAGAACTATGAAAATCGGTAAGCTTGAAACAAAGAAATAAGCAAAATGTAAGCTTGGTGGGGTTGAGGATACAGTGTTACATTTCAGAACATTATTTTAAGCTACTTGTGAAGGATAACTTTTGAATGACTTTTTTATTATCTCTTACAGAAACATCACTGAGGGATTCAAAAAGTAAAGTAAGTAAAATTTTTCCTATATTTTTCAGCAAATTTGCACTTGGATGGTTACTCTATCATCAAAAAGTAAAAATTTTAAGAAACAAAAATATACCATTGGTTATGAAAATTAATGCAAACTGAGAAGGAAGAATTGTTTGCATCACAAACCACTGTACTTTTGACACAAGAGCAGCCACTGTATGTGAATTTCTAGAGATTTATGATGCACTTATTACTTCATTGTTGAATTAATCTTTTTTTATACCTGTTTTACATCATAAAATAAGTATTCCTTGAAGATAAGAGAAGTGTTAACTCTCTGGTATTTCCTCAATATCCTTATCATCTATTTTTATACTCAAGATTTTCCAAGAAAATCAAAGAAGCCACTAAGCTAGCTTTTACAGCACAGAGTGAAGCATCTAGATAAAAGAGAAAATCTGAGTTTCTTAAGTCTTGGCATCCTTAAGACTATGTCCCCCCATATGCTTTATTCAGTCATAGACTGAGTAATTAATGCACATTAACAATGGGAGCCATGTATGTTGGATGAGAAAAAAATATATATATATATATAATATTTCAATGTAAGTAGCTTAAAACAGATGACAATGACTTAAAATTTTTATGTATTTCTTATTTAAGGAAAATTGTACTACCCCCATTATGAAAACATCAAATTTACTAGAATTCAAATGCTAAATAAAGGTTTGCTTATAGTTTAGTATCTTTATATAGAAACTTTAAGCAAATATTTGAAGCCCCTATCTCAATAGACCCCACTGAAGCCACTGGTGTTCATGACAAGGGAACTGACTGAAACATGTTTTCCAGCTGTTGCAGACTTCAGTGAGTGTTCACCCTGATGGTATTGAAAAAACTGTGGAGGACATCATTGAATTGAAAAAAATTAACCCCGACATAAATCCACAGTAAGAACGTTTCTTATGTTGTAAATGTAGAACACAGGTTCAATGGCTATTTCTACAGCATTCGAGTAAGCTCATTCTCTCTCTCTTCCCTCCCCTCAAATAATCATCTGCAGTGTTTTGACTTTCAGAACAAGAATAAAGAAAAAAAGGTGCTTTGTAAATAGCAGCAACTTTGTACTTCTGTTGTGATTTATGCTTATGCTTCTGAGATGCAATGAATGTAAGAAATCTGATGGATGTCCCTGCTATCAGAAGATGAAATAAAGGGATAATCACTTCGTCAATAATCACTCCACACAGTGCCTGTTTTACACTAACAATAGATGTTCAAATTATAAATGTGCCTAAGCTGAGCATGCTCTATCAAGAATATTCCTTCAGTCCATGACAGGCTGATAGTCTTGGAGACAGTTCCTACATGCTTGTCAAGAAGACAGGCATGTGTGGGAGGGAGAGATGGTTTTTATATGAAGACTTTAGAACTTTGTAATTTAATCATCTCATCTTGGAAGTATTAAAATGCATTTGGCAATGTACATGACATTTAAAATTAAGTTTTTATTTTCCACTGGGTGCAGAAATTTTTCAGTAAGATTTTGGGATAAGGATATTGGGTAGAATAAATTCCACATACAGATATATTTAGAGATGGTTTAGGTAGGTAACAATCAAACTGTCTTTCAGATGTGCATACATGAGAACTTTAGATGTTACAGTTGAGAAAGGCTTTTAGTTGCCAAAGTCAGGAGCTCTAGTTGAAGGGAATGTCAGAGTGCACTTTGCACAGCTCTGCTCTTGGAGGGATTCTAGGTACCAGCTGACTGGGCCTCATCATGAAACTGTTCCCATGTGGTCTCCGTGGCATTCTCCTGCAGACACTTCAGCTGATTAGCTTCCTTTTCCTTATTCAGCCATTAAAGGTGATTTAATTATTCAGTAATTGTCTTTTGAAATCTTCTGGCATAATTTTATTTCTCTGGGAAGCTGATAAGAAAGCAATTAATTTCAAATTTAAATTGAGCCACAAATTTAAGACTACAATTGGGCATGAGGGATATATTAGACTTACAGTCATATTTAGAGAGTGGATTAGATTTAACGGCAAATCTTTTCGGTCTCTCCTACGAAAGTTTTATGTTTCATTCACCAGCATTTCCTTGTCATATATTCCTTTGATTTCCTTTAGGAAAGAAAAAGTTAACAGGTTTTTACATTGTGTTTTTATCTCTCTATATGGATTTTAGTGCTTTTTTTCTAGAGTGGCACTGACAAAATGATTTTTTAAATTAATTTTGTGAAAAAAAATCAAGAAATAGAGTGGGTTGGGAGAACTATTTTATAATTTATCAAGCCATTGTTACCGTCAGCCTTACTTTGTTTTAATTACATTTTTTCAAGTGCTGCTTATGCTCGTGGTAAGAATTACTACAGTAAAAATTACACCGGATCCCCTTGTTCCCTTCTGTTTTTTCCTCCCACTCTCTTCTTTCCTTCAAAATCAAATCCCTTGTCAGTCCTGCACTGGTTTTTCTGGATGACCAATGCCACTGTGCCCCTCCTAAATTTAAATATCTGACTTAGCTTTTTTGTGCTATGGTAACAAGCAATTATAAGGGCCATTTGATTGAATGTTCAGTTTTATTTCAGTTTAGTATTCTAGGTTATCTGACACTGCCCCCTGTGTTTGAAGCATACAGTCCTAAAACTTACAGTTCTCTAGAACCCCCAACTTTAGACTTAACCTCTATACATCTCATTCCCGCTCAAAAAAGATGATGATGACACTGTCATTGTGATGCTAGTGACCTCAACCGCAGCAAAAACGTTCAAATTTAGTGGATGAATTAGGAATAGGAGTAACTCTTGGGCCAAATCTTATGAAATTGCCAATGTTCAACAATTTCGAACCATAAAAGTGGATGACTATAAAGAACTTAGCAGGAATAAATAAATAAATGTGAAATACTACCTTTAGATTTAAAAATGTACATCAAACAAGTACAACAAAATTTTGTATGAAATTTATGTGTACAAAAAAAGTTTATATGAAAAAAGGATCTTGGTGATTATTTAGCCACTAGTTTAATAAACTTGTAATATTCTGTGACCCTCTTTTACGTTCTGCATTATAGGAGGAAAACAGCATTCAGATCACAGAAAGTAATGACCCCCTCTGTGTGTCACACTTACCACATGGTTTCCTGTTCTGGTGATGTTTTAAGGGGGCCATTAATTACACAATGTACATTCAGAGAAGACTGAGCAAGATGGTAAAACATTTGAAATCTTGTTCCATTGAAGAGAACTGAAGGAATAGGGTTTGGGTTTTTTTTTTAACCTGGGAGATCAGACTGGAAGGTACAAAAATCACTATCTTAAAATAAGTCAGCATGGCAGGGGAAAGATGGAAACTTGTGCAGAGAGCAGAATTTGAACCACTTGGTAAAAAGGAAAGCAGATATTGAAACAGCATAAAAAAAGCGTCCAGACAACTAGAGTGTTGGAATGGAATAGGAAATTTTATAAAATAGTGAGTTCTGTCTCTTGGCATTGCCTCATATATCAGGGATGTGCTCAAGCAATTAAGCCCCCGAGAACTATTCCTCTCTCTATGTCTCACAGACACACATGCACACATACACTCTCACTCTATTCCTCTCACTCTCTCCACCACACACACACACACACACACACACACACACACACACATACACCCCTACTAAAGTGTTTCTGACATACCCACTTAGGGGGGCTAAATGATCCCTAAGAACCCATTATCACCTATATTTTCTACATCTTACCTTCAAGTCACCTGCGTAAAGAACTCCTTTGTTTTGGAAGCCACATTGTTGCAGCTTGGTTTAAGAAAAGGCCAGAATGAAGGTAAATTGTAGCCAAGTTCCACAACTGTCCATGTGGAGCGTCAGTAAGAAATTGAGCTTCTATTAAATACATTCTATTTCCTAAATATTGTATAATATGAAAATTTCTGCTGTGCATACATCAAGTGAACGAATGCCAAAGTTTGTCTCATTTTTCCTCATGTGTGTTTCTTCTATTTTTAAATATTTTAGGTTGGGAATCTCTCTTCAGGCGTGCCTTCTGCAAATTGTTGGGTACAGAAACCTGATTGCAGATGTGGAAAAACTGCGCAGGGAGCCCTATGATTCTGATAATCCCCAACATGAAGAAATGCTTTTGCAGGTCTGTCCTTGAACCCATTTCAGTCCTTCACTTAGGTCAGCTGATGTTTGTCAGACACTCAGTAGAAGCTGACACTGCTGGGAAAGCAGGGGTGGGGGTAGGGGGGTGGGGGGATATGTGCAGGTACAAAGATGAATGACATATGAGCACTGCAACTGGTTGCTAGAGCTGACTTTTCTTGCTGGTTCAAACATCAGAGGTAAGTTTTTCATTAGAAAATTCATGCAAGAAGTTAAATGTAAAGCCAGTTTTCTGTTGTGACCAGAGAAAGCAGCAGAAGAGATTTCTGGGCTGTCTCATTTGGCTCAAGGTTAGATTGTTTAACTGTGTTGGAAGCCAATAGGAGAAATAGCATTTGTCAAAGAGCGACCTGGGATTTTCATTTGTGACTTTTAATAGACATGAAAGAAGATGAAGTTGGTCTCTGTTTCAGCAATAGCCCTCTTGGGAAATCACCCAAGATTTTAATGCTTATTATTTATTCATGTAACTTGGAGAGTATTAGAAGAGGAGGTAAAGGTTTATATCTGGTGTATCAAAACTGTTAGAAGAATAATATGCAGTTATAAATACTTCTGGGTGTCATAGCAAAACCTTAAAAATTTAATACGATATGATGGTATATTAGAAAACATCAATAAGACAAGCTCAAAACACTAAATTTTGAATTAAAAATTAAGAACAATCTTTACAACTATTCATTTGAAGGGTTTTCTACATTCATTTCTAAAACTGGATGCTTTTTGATGTTGGAGTGCTTCCTTTTCCTTTCCTAGAATTCAAAAAGGCAGCAACAAAATTGGAAGAAAACAAATCGCTTAGCTGCCTTATCTTAATCTTATATTGAAAAATGTCAATAGGAGCTATAATTTTTTAAATGTGTCTGTTATGATTTAGTGTGAAGGAGTGTAGGTTTTTGTGTATGTAAGTACTTACACAAATGACTCATCTGTCTCTACTAATTTGTGCTGTATCTGTTGCAGATCATTAAAACTTAAAGAAGCCTCATTCTTAGCAATAAGTTTTCTTCTTCTCTTTCTCCTATGCTTAATTTTAGTTAGCCTACAGGCTGAGTTTCATCTCCTTTTATTGCCTTTTCCCCCCCCTATTTTCTGATGGAGGTAGTCAAGTTCAATAAAATGATGTCAAGGTGGGAACTAAGACATGAATGAAAGAGAAAAGAGGTGGTATAAATAACACCGGCCACCAGCAGCTGAACAATTCATTAGAATGACTGAGATGCCTTCAGAATCAGTGACGTTTGGGTGCCACCATATCTTAGCTGATCTTTTGTATGTATACTGGCACATAGTAGGGTTTCAACAAATATGGGTGAATGCATGAAAAATTGTGGTTCACTAGACTAAAAGCCAAGAAATTTTATGATAAAACATTTATGTGGTCATGATTTGAGTATGTATGTGTTATCATTTTTTATTGTCACAGCTATATGAGGATGGCAAGGTGATGGGCATTATCTTTACTCTAGAGATGAGCAAACTACAAATATTTTAGTCCAGACTCTGATTCATACAGCTAGTAAATTGCAGTGGTTTGCAGTCTAAACAGGGAGACAGCTTGCTTCTACAGAAATCACTAAATCTAGTCTGTAGAGCTCCCACAAATTCATGCCCACTGCCTTACTCTAGCCATCATCTCCAACTCAGGCTGTTAACAATAGTCTTAAATTCTGCCACTAACCATTAGCTTTTCCCTTCCATCTTTTAAAATTCTACTGGAGGTATTATTTAGTCATGTTGTCCTGTAGGTTAAAACTTCGAGTTCTTTATGACTAACAGTAGAAAGCCCATGCCTCTTAGAATGGCATTTTGGATGCTTTCCATTTTATTTCTTCAAGCTCTATTTCCTGTACCCCCATTATGTACAGCATGTCTCTGCCATGCTCTGTCACTCACCCTGACCCAGAACAGTCCCTGCCATCCTGTATGCCTAAGTATTTGCTCATGCTATTCACCCTATTACCCATTATTCTCACAGCAGAAACTCTCACATTTTAAAATCCTTATTCATTGAATTTTGAAATCTTGTCTTGCCTTCCTAAGAACTCAGGAGGGGAATCTTTATTCTCTTCTTTATTTTATTTATAGTTCCAATTATCTTAATAATAAATCAGTAATAGTGAAACATACATTAAGTGTTTAATATATGCCAATCACTACAGTAAGTGTTTTATAGCGTTATGTTCATTTAATCATCCATATAACCTTGTGGTGAGATACTGGGATTATCCTGTTTTCACATGAGGATTGTGAGGCAGGCCACTTAAATGACTGCCAAGCTCACACAGTTAGAAAGGGCTCTGCACCACCATTCAAGGGACAAACAATGTCTTGTTCACATGTGTATCTACAGGTTTGCTTTAACTACCTGAGATTAGGTATCTTTACCCTTAAAATGGGTAATAATATCCTTGTTAACTACTTTACAAAATTGTATAGAGCAAGGGTCAGCAAACTGAAGCCTGTGAGTCAAATCTGGTCTGCCCATTTTGGTAAGTGAAGTTGTGTTGGAACACACTCATTCACTCATTTGTGTATTGTCTGTGGCTGCTCTTTTACTACAATGGCAAAATTAAAAGGTTGTAGCAGTGACTGTATGGCTCCAAAGCCTAAAATTTCTACTTTTGGGACCTTTACAAACAAGTTTTGCAAAGTTGGTTTATAAACATAGGATACCACTACCAGTGTTTCTACTTAGAGTCTTAAAGTATAACAAAAAAATCTGCATTTTATGATCATTTAAACATAAGCTGGGATGAAACTGAGTAACATCACTCTTTAGCATGTAGCACTGTCCATATGAGTTACTATTTGAAATTAACATTTCTATTAAACTTTTGCTAACTTAATTAATAGTAAAGGCAAAATTTTATGGGGATTAATGTACTTAATAGAAAAAAATAGGACCCAGAATTTAAAAATCCTTTCCTCATAGAAAGAGACAGCCCCATGGTGG